TCTTAAGATAAGAATTGCCTCCCTCAATAATACATGCTGTTGAAAACAGCCAACCTGTTGAAGCCAACCTTCGGAAGGCTAATGTTAGCTGTCCAGAAGAGGGTACGAAGTGAGCCGACATGTACCAAACTCGGCACTCACACTGTGTGCGAGTAAGGGGGCCGCCAGGTGCAAGTGAGAGACGAGGCCTTCGTGGGGTTAAGTCAGCATAAGCTTTCAATGACTGTCGTACGCACGTGCGTGCGTGCTCCTAGCAGATACCAGGCCACTGATGCATGAGATAGGAGAGACAGTTTATCGACAAGTATAGCGCAAACCATTACGGCCAAAAGTAAAACGGAACAGTAAGTTCCGAAAAAGCTTGTTTTCATATCCTTGCCCTTTAAGGGCAATAACGCTTTAAATACTATCAAGAGACGCCTACTTCACACCATCGAAAGGCCATACTTTGCTGCCAAAGTCATATTCTGCAATCCAACAAAGCCCCTACCAATTCCATGTGTGAAAGATGCCTTGCCACTGCACGCCAATTCAGTTCAGCGATGATACCCATGTAAGCATTCAGGAAGTCAAGTTAGGCGAACGAACGTTTTCGATTAATTCATCATCAGGCAATACAATAATATAAGGGAAGGGTAGAGTTAACGAAAGTTTAAACAACCAATCAGTAGTAACTAGGGGGAAATGGGGGGAGGTGTAAAGGGATCAAAGGGGCCAGATTCTAGTCTTAATTCTGATCCGCTCCAAGTTGGAAATTAATTTCTGATGCAAGTAAAAAGCCACAATTTAAAAACTGGAGTATCTATCAGAAAGCCCACCGGAAATGCTGAGAGGCCTGCTGATGAGCCGAAGCCCTCGTAACTGCGCCATACAGCGGCGTGTCCGAGTTTCTAGCTAGTACTTGTGATACCAGTGTGGCAAATAATTACCTAAGTCATACAGCTACCAGCCTGTTGGCAGCTTGTGAATATGACGCAGTTATCCCGCAGTAGCTGATGGACTTCGGCCCAAATGTTCATATCAAATCTCGGTCTGTGTCTGTAGACTACTGAATATACTGACCTACTCCTGGTTATAAATTAGTTTGTGAGGCAATTAAAAAGCTACAATTTCCTAGACTGATTTCTGATCTGGAGACATTGGTCGTCAGATAATTTGGGCATACTCACACAGAATAACTCCTTCACTTAGGTAAAAATTGCGGGCTGGGAGGCATTAGGGTAACGGTCTATTATAGGGCTCACAAAGAAAACAGAAAACCAAAAATTCTGTAAGACGTGACCAATAGTAACGGTAATTTACCTTTATTTTTAATGTGCTATGTTACTTATTTAATGTAAGATTTTATTTTTTTAATCATCCCACGTTTTTGTGCTATATATTACCTTTTTATAGTAATTCTGTCTACTATTTCTTGCTTTTGCTTCATATATTTTCTCTATTTTCTTAGCTGTGCTCTCCTTATAACTCCTATTACCACCGGTTCCGTTTTACGTAATTCTGGAGGTTTGTTTTCCATGGTCAGCTCTATGATAGACTGTTATCTGAGGTAGATGCAAACTAACATACACAAGAAAGCAGTGGTGCACGAAACTTACTTTGGGATTAGCGACTCGACCGACAAACTTTTGGCCAAATCGTAGGATACTGAAGCTTTCAAAGCCGCCGCTCGTGTCAACACGAAGACGGCAAATGGGTTCAGGAGGCGGCAGGAAGCGAGGATGGGACGGCGTCTCGCCCTCTTCGGCCTTCAGGCGCTGCTTCTCCTGACTGATGGCTGCCGCGGTAGCAGCGGCCGCCTTCGAGATGGCCTGACTG